TCCCTCCTTCCATAAATCTGATGGAAAGACCCTCCCCTCCTTGAATCTACAGAGACATCATCAGACTGGTGACAAACAAATCTATCAGCCTAAGAAATGGATGTGGCTTATTCCACTGGGGTCTTTGGGAAATTTACGTGGTGCAGAGGGCGCAGGTTAGGCCTGGGCACGATGTGACACTGCAGGAGCAATGCAGTTGGGGACCCCCAAAGCACCAGACGGCATCCACGAGCGCCTCAGTGGCATCCTGGTGACATTGTGGTGACATCCCACCGCTGGCTGCCTCTCGGGCATTGGCAGGGGCTGCCCAGAGAGGTTTGGAGTGCCCATCCCTGGAGGTGTCCCTGGATGTGGCCCTCAGGGCTCTGGGCTGGGGACAAGGTGGGAATCAGGCACAGCTTGGACTCGATGGCCTTGGAGGTTTTTTCCAGCCTCAGGGATTCCTGATTCTGCCTGGCACTTGCCTTTAAAAGCCCAGGGGTTGTGCTGGTGGGATTTTCTTGGGTAAATCTGCTTTCAAACCCCTCCCAAGCGTGCCCAAATCCTGGAATGGGTTGAGTTTTTGCCCCGAGTTAAGAAGGCTGTAGCTGGCTGTGAGTGGTTTATAAATTCAGCAGCCCTTGTTTTGCACTAATCCCCAAACAGGATTTTTGTGGGACATTTCTCCTATGCTTGGAGTTGTTCAAACACTGAGCAAGTTACTGCAGTGGTGGAATTAAATCTCAAAGTGCCACTGGCAGCATTTCCACAAGCTGGAGCTGGGGTGTTTACAGTTACCTAATATTTAAAACAATGTCTCAGCAGCACCTAAGCTGGAGGGGATTTTTGTTACAGAAAGGTCTCATCCTCTTGATACAAACGTTGCTATTTGTCATCCTGTGTTGATTTGTGACTTCCTTTTACTGGAAATGTGTGCTCTGAGCGTGAATTAATTGATACAGTTACCAAAAGCAGTGGTGATCAGGCTGAAATTTTCTCTCTGGCTGAAAACAAAGAATACAAATCTACCACAAAATGTATTTCCCATGATGGAATAATGGGATTTATCCCATTATTAGTTCTTACTCTAAATTAAAAGCAGATTAAAGATTGGAGTGTTTCAGAATGGTTTTCCCCAGAATCTGCTGATGATAAATAACCCAAGTGAGGAGGAAGCTCTGCTGCTTGTCCTTCCTCAGAAATAAGACTTGTGCAGACAATAAAAATAAAGATTTCTGCCTAAGGACATCTCCGCGGCAGTGCTGATGAACGCTGTGGTCAGGATTGCACTTCTCCCCGTGCAGGAAGCTGGAGACAACAACCAGTTCTGCTGGAGGAATTTGTTCTCCTGCATTAACTTGCTGAGGATCCTCAACAAGCTGACCAAGTGGAAACACTCGAGGACAATGGTAAGGGGGTGTCCCCTCCCCCTGAGACCCTCCAGCATTTCACCTGGAGCATCTCCCTGGCTCCACACAGCGGGTTCAGCCCAGCCTTGTGCTCAGGGTTCCTCGTGGAAGTGCTGGAGCTTCTACTCTTCATCATCTTCCCTTTTTCCATTCACAGATTGAGCCTTAAATGCAGAAATAGTTTTTCTCCTGCAAATAACATTATTTCTGTGACCCTCAAGCCCCGTGCAGAGCGTGCTGGTTGTGCTGAACGCTCCTGTTCTCCCTCCTGGGGGTTTGTGGTGTACGAGGCCCAGGTGCTGGTGCCCACCTCAGCCCAGGCAGCGTTTGTTTGTGTGGCTCCCCGAGCACTCTGCGTTGATGGGTGTTGATTCCCTGGCAGATGCTGGTGGTGTTTAAATCAGCCCCCATCCTGAAGCGGGCTCTGAAGGTGAAGCAGGCCATGATGCAGCTCTACGTGCTCAAGCTGCTGAAAATCCAGACCAAGTACCTGGGGCGCCAGTGGAGGAAGAGCAACATGAAGACCATGTCAGCCATCTACCAGAAGGTGCGGCACCGCATGAACGACGACTGGGCCTACGGCAACGGTGAGTCCTGCCCGGCCTCGTGCCTCTGCCCTGCAGTCTGCTTCACTTGGCTTCAAACCTCTAAAATTGCTGTCACTCCTGGGGATTTCTCCCAGATGTTTCATGGTGCCATTCTGCACCGTCAGGTTTACAGCTCGTGAAAATACTGGGATTCTTTTCATATCATCAGTTTATATAATATGACGTAATGTCGTGGTTATTGCAGCTTTTCAATATCATTCATAGTTATGTTTGCTCAAATTTTTAAAAAATGGTGGTTAGGAGCTCATAATGAGCTCATTGGGTTTTAAATGTTTTAAATCTTGATCCCTGCTTCAGTGGTCAGCAGAGATTTTCAGTAAAAGTGGTGGGTTTTTTGTCAAAAAAGCAGGGCTGGGTAATTATAGAGAGTACTTAAAGCAGGAATTACATTTTTATGGGATATCTTAAATAGTCCTTAATGCAGGAGTAATTACATTTTTATGGGATATCTTAAATGAAAATGCACACATAATGGGATTTGGTTAGGAATAATAATAATTAGGAGTGACTCTGGTTAATTCACATGAAACCTCCAGCCTTTCTTTTGCTCAAACCTTGTCAGAGCGGTGCTTGCCGCACTATCTGGGTGTTGTTCCTCCTCCACTGCAGACATCGACGCCAGGCCGTGGGATTTCCAGGCTGAGGAATGCACGCTGAGGGCCAACATCGAAGCCTTCAACAGCCGCAGGTACGACAAGCCGCAGGACTCGGAGTTCGCCCCGGTGGACAACTGCCTGCAGAGCGTGCTGGGCCAGCGCCTGGAGCTGCCCGAGGACTTCCACTACTCCTACGAGCTGTGGCTGGAGCGGGAGGTGTTTTCACAGCCCATTCGCTGGGAAGAGCTGCTGCACTGCCAGTGACTGACTGCACTGCCAGTGACTGCACTGCCAGTGACTGCACTGCACTGCCAGTGACTGACTGCCAGTGACTGACTGCACTGCCAGTGACTGACTGCACTGCCAGTGACTGCACTGCGCTGCCAGTGACTGACTGCACTGCCAGTGACTGACTGCCAGTGACTGACTGCGCTGCCAGTGACTGACTGCACTGCCAGTGACTGCACTGCCAGTGACTGCACTGCCAGTGACTGACTGCACTGCCAGTGACTGCACTGCCAGTGACTGCACTGCCAGTGACTGACTGCACTGCCAGTGACTGACTGCCAGTGACTGACTGCACTGCCAGTGACTGCACTGCCAGTGACTGCACTGCTGCTCCCGAGGGCTGTCAGTGCCGCGGGCTGGGGTGGGTCGGGCGGGGTTTAAGCACAGCTGGGAAAACAAAATTAAACTTTTCAAAGAGACCAGGTCTCTGTATAAAGAGACGGACACCTCTTTTTGGAGGTCATCCTGTGACTCCTTGGAGACCGTAAAGCACGGGTTGCAGAGTGAGCTCGGAGCCCAGGTGTGTCTCCGAGTGGGCTGGGGGCAAGGATTCCCAGCTGGGAATTCCATCCCTCCCGCGCGCTCCTTTCTTTGGCTCTGTTGGGTTCTGCCCCCAGCACCACCCTGCCACCCCGGCATGCTTGGGATGGAGACAGCATTCCGTGTTGTCCCTGTCCTCTGCTGCTGCTGGGGTGACACAGCCCGGCTCAGAGTCCTGGTGCCACCAGGGACAGGTCCTGCATGTCCCCTGGACACCCACCCGTCACCTCTGCACCTCTGCTTTCCCCACCTTCACTCACCTTTATTGCACCACCCTGTGCTGTGCAGTTTCCAGCTGTGCAGCCTGGAGATCCCTTTTCTTTCCTCCCTGACTCCACATCCTCTTCAGCCCTTCCAGCCCTGAGGGGACAGCAAATACGGTGTTAAATAACCCAAGTTTTACACGGATTTTTGCTTGTTTGGGGGAATGTCTGTGCCAGGTCTTAGGGCGGGGAGGGAAGGTGCTTTGGTGAACAATGTATGAGGAAAAGAGTGGATTCTGTGGTCCATAACTTTCAGAATGAATGGGATATGGAGCTGTAAACTTTCTGTCCATTTAATAACTTAAATTAAATAATGAACACTACACTTGGGTAAAGCTGCATTGCATGAGGGTGGCATTTGTGTGCTCATATAGGGCAGGGAAGCCCTAAATAAACAAGTGTTTGTTATGGCAGGATTTGTGCTAATTGCTTAAATAATTAATTAGCCTGGGAATGTTTCCTTCATGGGGGTTTGTCCAAGGCCTTGTTCATGGAAATGGCATTAAGCCTTTTAAAGCCTTTTAAAATATGCTTTTGTTCGAAATAAACCAAATTTTAAAGGACACATCTTTAGTTAAGCTTTTTCTTCCTGTGTCTTAATTGAAATGCTTTTATTTTATTATTTTATAAGGATAAAAACATCCCCCAAACTCAGCCCTCACCCCTGCCCATCTCCACTAAAGGGGAAATTGAACGAATTATTCAAAAATTTAGAAAAGCCCTTGGTATTTGGCTCAAACCTTTTTTTTCCCCCTCAAAGTGTCTTTTTTCCCCCACAATATATTGAAAAAAAAACAGAAAACCAAAACCAGTTCATAACCAATGTGCATTTTTCTATGTTTTATATTTAAATTGTGCTTTTCAGTGCCTGTTATTTTTACTGAGAGATATTAGAAGCACAAATTCTTACCTGAATGTCTGTGGTGGAGGAAGGTACAAACTTATCCTGGATTACAATTTATTCACACCATCATCACCAAATTTTCTGTTTCCCAGAGAGAGATCTCCACAGAAAACCCAAATCTCTGCATAAAAAAAGTGGCTTAGGGAGAGCCTTTATTTGAAATATTCATGTCCCATCCTGGCAAGCAAGCAGCAGTTTTCAATTTTTTTTGTTTTTTTCACTTCACAATGAGGATTTTCTCCTGATTAAAAATTCTCAGAAGAGCTGGGGGCCAGCAATTAAGGAATAATCATTTTATACGTTCAGCAAGGCAGCTTCAGAACGAAGTTTTGGGTGGTTTCTGCACAGCTGGAGGAACATCTGTTATCTCACCCCAGCAGGACTGTTGGTTCCAGGAACCCTCCAGTGATCCCAGTTCCAGTTGTAATTGCAATAAAGGACTCTTTTTTGTTTTGTTTTCACCCTACAGGTGGTTGCTGAAGGTTCTGCTGTGGGTAAGACCTTTTCTTCAGCACCTCAGCACAGATTCTTGTGCTTTTTTTGTAGATTCTTGCTGTTTCCTAGGGATATAAAGCATACAGAATGGAGTTATTAATTTCTCAGTCTTCTCTAAGCAACTTTAGAGCTTTTTGGTGAATTTAATGCAAATTTCAGTGAAGCATAAAAGGCTACAAAGATACAAAGTTCCTTTCAGAGTTGAGAAAAGGAGAGAGTGGTTAAAAAAATAAAAATGGGGGGGGACTTAGTCTTTATCCATTGAGTTTGGCACTGTTAAAAAAACTCCCTCCTTTTTCTCCTGTGAATGTTTCCCTAAAAATAACAGCACTGAGATGTCCTGGCTGACTCTGTATTTATCCACTTGTAACCACAGAAGTGACTGTATGAGGTCAGGCTTATTGTACTCTGGAGTTTGGGGAGCTTCCCTTAATTATTTATCAAAGCCTTGCATGTGTAAACAGCAGCTTGTTCTGCAGCCAGGCCCAAGCTCTGCCACAAAACACAACATTTGACTGCACAGGATGATTTTTGTCTCCTTGATTGAACATTTCAGTGCTCCGTGCCTTCCTTTTTCCTCAATAATTATAACGTGGCCTCCTGATAGTTGTCTGTGCTGAAATGAGATAATTAGTGTAATTATGATTGTTTCTTTTATGCTGTGTGGTTTGTTAATACAGATGACACAGAATTTCCCTGAACAGAGTGGAAATCAGTATTTTTTTCATTTTTGCTTTCACTATCCAAGGCTCGTTCAAGAGAATTTTACTCCCAAATCTGCAGACTTTTCCCCTGAGCTACACTACCAATTCTTTTTATTAGGCAAGAAGGAAGGAAATTTACTTATGCACCAGAGAGCACATTTAGAGAGGTCAATGTTAAAGGTAAAAATAAACCCATGATCTAGGCAGACTCGCTGATGTGTTTTTGGAGTTTGGCAATACTGCAATTATGAGCTTTTTTTTTTTTTTTTTTCTATGAGGGAATTCAGCTCTTACTGATATTTTTCACTTGTGCCTATTTTTTTAGTGCTTTGCAAGTGAAAATCTGGTGCCGAGGGATGCAGGACAGACTCCTCTCTCCCATATTTTTTCTAAATTTAAAAATCACCCCACCTTTAGAAGCGTTACTACCCTTGGATAAAATTGTTGTGTCTAAAAAAGGTGCAGAGAACAAAATGAACCCTTCGTGTCCCTGTCCCTCCCTCAGCCCACTTCACCTCCATCGATTCCTTGAGTCTCAGGCCTCAGTTTACGGGGATTTATTAGAAATATCCAACCTCAACTACATGTCATTTTCCTGCTGTCTGGAGCTGTGGCTCTGCAAGGAGGCAAAGCACAGTTTATTTTAAAAATATTTTTATGGTGAAGGAGGCTGAGTCAGGTATTTAAACAGACTCCCCCGTGTCACGGAATAACGTGAATATTCCACTGAAAGTCCACCAAATGCCAATCTTTCCAAGACCTTTGGAAAGCACGACTTGCTCCCCTCCTCCTTTCAGGTCGATGTTGTTGTGCTGGGGGTTTTTTGGCCTCCTTGTGCCATTTCTGGGGGTTTTGGCTGTGGGTGGGACAGGGCCGGGTGACATGGCGGCGGCCGCTCCCCTCAGGCCCCTCACAGCTTTTCCCGCCCTTTTCTCCGTCACCACCGCAGTGGCGGGAAGCGCCCCCCCGGCAGCTGATTGGACGATGGGCGGGTGCCTCAGCAGCGAATTGGACACCGCGCTGTCAATCAGCACCAGACCCCGCCCCCGAGGTCGCTATGACAACGGGACGCTGAGGGGAGGGTGAGGAGGCCATGGCGGCCGTGGGGGGGAAGGGGGGCCGGGGTCTCTTCAGAGCTGCCGTGATGCGGGGACAGGAAGGTGAGATTCTGCTTTTTCTACACGGAGGGAGCTGGGGCTTGGGGCAGCCGGGGGAGAAAAGGAGGTTCAGGACGGAGCTGCTCGCTCGCTGCAGCTCCCTGAGAGGAGGGTGCAGCCAAGAGGGGGTCGGGCTCTGCTCCCAGGGAACAGGGACAGAACAAGAGCAAACAGCCTCAAGCTGTGCCAGGGGTTTAGACTGGATATCCTGAAAATTCCTTCCCTAAAAGAGTTGTCCTGCCCTCGCACAGCTGCAGGGCTGGAGGGAGTCCCTGTCCCTGGAGGGGTTGCAAAGCCCCGTGGATGTGGCACCTGGGGACACTTGGGGACACTTGGGGTCAATGGTGGCCCTGGCGGAGCTGGGCTTGGTCTCGGAGGTCTTGTCCAGGATTCTGTGGTTGTAAACCTCGAGGGCTTTGCTGAAAAGCTCGGAGTCCTGGAATTTGACAATTAGCAGCTGATTTCACAGGTGAGGATCAGCTTTTAGGGACGACCCTGTTTTTGCAAGGGGCTGGGTTTTCCCTTTTTCTCTTCAAATTTCGTGGGGATCGACACAGACTGTGTAACTAACCATGGAATTTTGTTTTTCAGGGTCCATCTCCAGGGCTTGATGTGAATTCCTGGCCGCTCCATAAAAAGACTCAGCCATGGTAAAACACCTTTGATCCTTCAGAAATGCTGATAACACCTTTTTAAGGAAAAGGGTTAATATCCAAAAGGTTCCTTCCCACAGCTGCAGGACAGAACTGACCTGCCCAAATTCACTTTGTGCGCAAGTATAAACCTAATTCTGATTTTTAGCTTTTTTTTTGTTCTTGGCTGCAGGCTGTGAAATTTTGTACATAGCATATAAAGCCTGTGAGCATCTTTTCTATTTGGAAAGATCAGCTACAGGCTGAATTCCCACCAGGAGCTTACAAGTGCTCACAAAATCCACCAGAGACCCTGGGCAAACAAGGAATATGACTCAGGTCCCTGGCTGGCTGCAAAATCTGGCACAAGCATGTCCCTGTGAAGGGGACACATTCCAGCATGTGAATATTCCACAAATTCTGTCCAGTTATGGTCTGTGAAAGAGGCTTGTACCATCTCAAACACATGTCTGAGCTCAAGTAGTTTCATTCTGCAAATTATCTGCCAGCAGCTCCAGTTTACATTCTTATTTTATCTCTTTTTTTGCTTCTCTAATAGAGGGTCTGTGTGTTTTAGATAGAAAATTTTATTATTTTTAGAAATTTTTCTTTACCTGTTCCTATTATTTCACGTCTTGGTTCCAGCTGATTCTGAGGATTGTGCCCTTGACCTCAGAGCACAAATGTTTGTCTCTTTTGCACTGAGTAGTGCTGAGCTGTGAAGGGATTTTTTAGAAATTATAACATGGAAAACACGTTACCTACGTGGGTTTGGATTTGAAACCAGCAGTGGTGGGAGAGCAGCTCCATCCCAGACCCGTGGAAGCTGGAGGAGGGATCCTGCTTTGCTGGGTTAAGATCCCAGCAGGAATGGATCAACACAGGCCAAGTTCCTTCAGGATTGCATCCTCATGTAGTAATTAAAAAAAGCAATCAGTGGGAGAGAATGTTTGACTTCCATTGGGCACAAACCTTTTGTTAGCCAGATGGAAGCACAGGGGCTTTGATGGCTTTAGAGGCTCTCAGAGCCTGCAGAGCAAACAGGGGCTGTGTGAAAGGTGTGTCAATGCCTGTGAGTCCTGACCTAAATCCACCACAAAGTGCTGGGGTCTGGGTGAGGGGCTCTGCCAGGCAGCTGCTCTGGGATCTCTTGGAATCATGGAATGCTTTGGGCTGGAAGGACCTTAAAGCTCATCTCCTTCCAACCTCCTCCCACCGTCCCAGGCTGCTCCAGCCCCAGTGTCCAGCCTGGCCTTGGGCACTGCAGGGATGCAGGGGCAGCCCCAGCTGCTCTGGCAATTCCAGCCCAGCCAGGAATTCCTCATGGCCAAGATCCCATCCATGGCTGCCCTCTGGCACTGGGAGCCATTCCCTGTGTCCTGTCCATCCCTTGTCCCCAGTCCCTCTGCAGCTCTCCTGGAGCCCCAGGAGAACCCCAGCTCTCTCAGTCTGTCAGCCTGGAGTCCTCTACCCAAAAGTGAGACAACAAAGACCCAGAACTGAGTGGGTTTTTGGTCATTTTCTCTCTGCAGGCACGCAAAGCCAAAAAACCCAAGGGTGGCAAAAAAAAAAGTTCCAAAAAGGGCGTACAGAAGCCTGTGTACCACGTGGATCTCTTCAGCCCAGCTGCCATGCTCAACGCTTACTACATCTCTCACAACGCTGCCGCCTTCCTGGAATTCCGGGGCCATCCCTGGCCCGGCTCTCTCAAAAAGAAGGGGAAGAAAAAGAAGTGAGAACCAAAGTGCCTGGTGTAGACTGTGCTGTGATAAAACCCGCCCTGGCCTCGGCAGTGCCCAGCCCCAATGGCAGTGTCCCCTGCTCGCTGCTGTGTCCACACAAAGACACTTTGACTGCAGCTCACACACAGTGACAAGTGGCAGGGGACGCTGTGCCATTGTCACTTCAGCCGTGGCCCTTCACCCTGTGGGTCTGTGTGGAGGGCAGGGCTGTGCTGGGGCTGGATTCACCCACCCTGTGCCACTCCTTAGGGATGGGACCAGTCCCTGAGACCTGCCTGAGCTCAGGAAGGACTGACAGAGCCAGTGGTGTGAGGAGGGCTGGGGGAGCTGGGAAGGGGCTGAGCCTGGAGCAAAGGAGGCTCAGGGGGGACCTTGTGGCTCTGCACAAGTCCCTGCCAGGAGGGGACAGCCGGGGGGTCGGGCTGTGCTCCAGGGAACAGGGACAGGAGGAGAGGGAACGGCCTCAGCCTGGGCCAGGGGAGCTCAGGGTGGAATCAGCAGGAATTTCCCCATGGAAAGGGGGTCCGGCCTTGGCAGGGGCTGCCCAGGGAGCTTTGGAGTCCTCATCCCCTGGAGGTGTCTGAGGAACTCCTGGAGGTGGCACTCAGGGCTCTGGGCTGGGGACAAGGTGTGTAGTGGTCACAGCTTGGACTCAATGATCTTGGAGGTCTTTTCCATCCCCAAGGATGCTGGGAATGTGACTTAGGCCTTGTCAGGGATCCTGTTACACCCAGCAGAGGTGGTGATGGCCCCCCACCCCCAGGCTGTCACTCACTGTGACCATCCTCTGCCCAAACATCCTGGCTGGACACATAAGCTCTGTGTCACATTCCGAGCCCTTTTGCTGCATTTCCTCCACGGGTGTTCAACACAGCCCTGGGGAAACCATGAAGCACCACACCGAGAGGAGCTGTGTGCATCTCTCCCAGACCTTTCCACCCCTCTGACTCCCAGGTAACAGTCAATTATCATCAACCCAAGCCAATAAAGGCCTGGAAATCCTGGTGCTCTTTATCCAGCCTGAAACATTCCCTCTCTGAGGAGGTTTTGACCAGGGAAAATCATAATTGGTGGCACTGCTGGTCAGCCAGCTGCTGTCATTTGTAGCTTGCTGCAAACTCCACTGGGTTTGTTTCACCTATGTGTGGTATAACCCACCCTAGAAAGCCAAGGGTAAAATTGGTGTTTGGGGGGAAAAAAATTTATGTGTGGTTTAATAATTATGTATGTAGGTAATAAATGAAGGGTTTAATTTAGAGCAGTTTGGTTGCAGAGGAAAACAGCCATGTAGCCATTTTAGCTGTTACTATCTATAGTAATATGACAATATGAAAGCATAAAAGTAACACTTAAGAAAATGTGATATAAGGAAAAAGAGAGGGAAAGGATAAAAGGAGAAAGATCTCACCACCCACAGGTCTCATGATGAGACTTGGTTGTTGCAATCTCAGTTTCTGTTGGTCCAACTGGTGGTCACAGAGTGATCCACCAGGGGATGAGGGGAAATCTCAAAGAAGTGGTGGGAGAAATGCACAGAACACAAAATCTGGGTTTATGTTCACTCAGGCTCAGTGGGAAGTCCCAGGTGCTTCTCCTGGAATGGGGAGTTTCACCCTGGATGATGGAATGCTGTGGGTCATGGGACATTTTGGGACTCTGACACCTTCAAAGGTGATGCAGCTGCCTTTGATACCAGCACAGTTGAGCCCACTGTGATCCATTATGGCTGAGGTGAACACCGTGGGGCTACTGGGAATGTCCCCATATTCCAGGGCAGGGGAGTCACCCCATGAGTCCCTTGAGCAGGGACAAAGAGGCAGGGCCCTGTTCAGAGCTGATAAAGGGTCCCTTATCACTTTGCAGCCTGAGCTGGGCTGTGCTCCTTTGCACATGGTAACTTGCTCCCTGAATGTGTGAGCTGGCAGCATCACAGTCTCTCTCCCAATAAATACCCCTGTGGATCCATCCTTCTTCCCAGACCTGGCGAACTGGACAAAAGTACCACCTTTGTCTGACCCCAGGTTCAAAATCCAACGTTCCAGTTAGTAGGGGTGTTTGGGGAGGGGTGGCTCTGGTGGTCACAGATGGACAGCAGCTCCTTTGCAGTTTGCTACAGTGGCCAAAATGATTGATTGATTGATGATTTCAGCAACGTCTAAGCCACGAAACTCATCAGTGTCTCACAACATGTCAAGAAAATGAATCACAGGACGAAGAGCCGAGCTGGAAAAGATGACCAAGTCCAACCGTCAAGCCGTGTCCTCAGGAGGGGCACCCAGGCTGCTGGATTTCCTGCTTCCCTGCTCTTCAGCTGCAGCTGGCCTGCTCTGATGACGCAGGGAGGAGGTTTGCAGCACCGCTCTGTTCTGAGCTCTGCACCCACGTCTCCTCCTCAGCCTTCTCTGTGCTCTCGCTTCCCCACCACCCACCAGGAAGTCTCTGGTCACAGCAGCTCGCAGCTCTTTCCTCCAGCCAGCAGCCTGCTAAAGCCAGAGATCTTTTGCAACCCCTGTATTCAGCATCTCCAGCTAAGAAATTAATTAAAACCCAAAAATATCAGATTTTTTTTAATTATACATTTACCACAGAAGGCTTTTAGGGACAGATGTTTCTGAGCACTGAAGTAGGAGCTGCTTAAGGTGGTTAAGGATGGTTAGAAGGGAGCAAGGCCATTTTTACATCTGTGGTAAACTGGAGCTACAGTGGTTTCAAAACTCCAAGTTCCAGTATCCAAAATTTACTGGAATATTAATTAAATAATAACGTTGTTCTCTCTTTAACAAAAAATTCTGATTTCAGCATGATGCCACTGAGCACACCAGATGGTGAGCAGTGAAGTGCAAAGGACAAAGACTCTGCTTTCCAGTGCATCTGAAAAGTTGCCATTCACTTCTTCGACAGCAGATGAAAAAACCCTCCCAAAAATCCCAAACTGAGTAAAGAAACACTTTTCTTTTTTCCCCCTCCTTTTTCCTTTTGCCTCTCAGTTGAATTTTGCATGTAATTCCATCTCCCTGGTGGTTAATAAAGACCAAAGGACATCTCTAAAGAAAAGTTTGGACTTCAAATGGCTGGATTTGCTTCGAAGTGCTGCAGGCTGTGCCATGATCCTGTGGCTGTGACAGGGTGACAGTGGCAGCTATTCCTGCTTCATCCCAACCTGTAAGAGTTTGGTTCCCAGATGGGTTTTTCTGGGGGGCAGGATTTAAGCCGAGTTTAGGGTGAATAAATCCTGCTCTGCCCAAATCCACAAAGAGGTTGGTGAGGGGAATCTGCAAGCTGGAGATGCTCTTTTAATGGCACGGGGAACTTTGTGGTGCTCTGTGTGCCAGGCCTCGCAGGGAGTTAAGTTCTTGTAGTGCTGGGGTTTCCTGTGCTCTGCTACCACTGTTTCCTGCAGGAAGTTGTGCACCAGAGCCCTGCTGTTAAAAACACAGGAGAGGTTGGTGTGAGTGTGACTGGGTGGGGAGAGTCACAGGGCTGTTCTGGATGGGAGTGGTAGACATAAATAAACATAAATATCAATTTAAACATAAATATAAATGATAACTATAACAAAATAGAAATAAATTATAAATTTAACTCTAAATGTAAGCTATAACTATAAACATAGTTTAATAAAATATATTATTCACCGCATTTGGAATGAGGGTGTTTCAAGCTGCGTGTGAGCAGCTTCCTCTCCTTTCCCTTCCCTCCAGCCAGCATTCCTGGATTGCCAGGTTTCTCCTTCCACATTATTTCACCTGAGGAAAAGCACAGTGGATTTTTGGATGTGTAAGAAAGGCTTGAGAAGGGGCAGGGATCCTTTTGTCCTGTTCCCATTTGAAGAGCTGCCCTGGCTGTTTCTTCCCAGCTCCAGGGGAGGATGGAGAGCTGAGGACTCTCCTCCTCATAAAAGGTATCTCCATAACAAAGAGGCTCCCGTGGAGAGTTTTTAAAGAAAAACTTCCTCGCAAGAGGCTTTGTAAATGTTGGCACTAAATAGTGTCAGCAGAGGGAAATAAAATAAAGTTTTCAGTGGGTTAACTCCTCTCTCCTTCATTCTTCTTTCACTGTCCTCACCTGCTGCCCTTTCAAGGAGAAAAAACTTATTTTTACAGTCTTTTTATAGGGCTCTGTTTTGCAAACTCTCTGGGTTTTTTTTTTTTTAAATTACAAAAGCTGGTTTTTTTCTCTGTTTTGCTTTTGTAACTGTCATACAAGGGAGCAAAAGGAATGGAATTTTAGAGCCCACAGGAATGGTTTTTAGGTAGGTACCAGGACACCTGCAGGTACTGAAGTCTCCCAGGTGGAACTTTGGGATGGATTCGTTACTTCCCAGTGTGCTGTCCACTCTGTAATCATCCAGTGCTTTTCTGGGGGGATTCAGGGAATTCAGGACTCCTGCTTCTTTTGGTGTCCCCTCAGAGGAACCTTTTAGGGCCTCCCCCCTCAAAAGCCTCAGACCATAAAAGGATCCTGGAAAGAAAACATCTTGTTCCTTGATTTTTTTTCTCTCTCTTTTTTTTGGTTTGTTTGTTTAGGCTCCACATAATTTTGTTTTAAAATATTTAATTACTTTAAAATAGAGGCCTTGAAAGTTGCTGTGTTCCTTTTAGCTTATTGCCACAAGATTTCAGGAGAAACAAGCAAAAGGAATTTTTTAATTTAAAGTCTGATACAGTCACATCTAAGCAAAAGTAAACCAAGTGTGAAATCTTCTTTATGCAAAAAAAAGTGTCAGCATTTGTCCTCGAGGTGTAACTGGCACTAAAAGAGAGAAATGTGTAAGAAAAATGAGGGAAATATTTAATGGAACCCATGGCTGCAGCAGAATCCTGTGCCATGAAGGGAACAATTTTCTCTTTGGTGGAAATTCGTGATGTAAATGCCCCAAAGTTCACCTGCATTTACTGCTGAATGTTGGAATATTTTTAATAGCTGAAAATACAAGGATAGGCCAAGTGCTCCTACAATCCTACAGGAAATGTCAGCAGGGAGACAGCACCACACAGATAACTGAAGAAAACAAAAATGCTTAAAGCTGTTTAGTACAAGCCAAAAGCTGCATTGAACTTCAGAATTTATTTTTTTTTCTCTCTGTCTCAGGATGATACAAGTAGGTCATGCAAATCTTGGGGGCACTTTTCCCACATCATTTAATAGGAAGTGCCTGTTCTGTGAAGGACGGAGATAATCAGCCTGGAATAAGAGTTTTCTGTGCAGACTGAGATGTTAAATCAGAAGTTACACCACCGATGTTGGAGTTAAAGTTGTATCAGCGAAGCAATTAAATCACAATAATTATTGCAGTTGGGGTTTCCTGGAGTTTTCTCAGTGCTGACATGGCCAACACACCTGAAAGGGGCTTTAAATGTGGATTATCTCACCCTGCTTTGCACTTGTGTAGCACAGCTGTGGGTGCTGAGCTGGCCATGCTGGGATCTCCCTAGGGATAAAAAGGAGATGGGAATCAGGCAGGTGAATTATGGCCACTTCCAAAAAATTCTGACGTCTCTTTGTCACGTTTGTGGCAAAATGCTCATTCCTTAAATTAAGTTGTTCCTGAAAAAAAAAAAAAATTGCTTATTAAGACTTTTCTTGGATTTCTTTCAGTCTGAAAAAGAAGGTTTGTAGAATAAATTGGACGGAGATAATCAGCCTGGAATAAGAGTTTTCTGTGCAGACTGAGATGTTAAATCAGAAGTTACACCACCGATGTTGGAGTTAAAGTTGTATCAGCGAAGCAATTAAATCACAATAATTATTGCAGTTGGGGTTTCCTGGAGTTTTCTCAGTGCTGACATGGCCAACACACCTGAAAGGGGCTTTAAATGTGGATTATCTCACCCTGCTTTGCACTTGTGTAGCACAGCTGTGGGTGCTGAGCTGGCCATGCTGGGATCTCCCTAGGGATAAAAAGGAGATGGGAATCAGGCAGGTGAATTATGGCCACTTCCAAAAAATTCTGACGTCTCTTTGTCACGTTTGTGGCAAAATGCTCATTCCTTAAATTAAGTTGTTCCTGAAAAAAAAAAAAATTGCTTATTAAGACTTTTCTTGGATTTCTTTCAGTCTGAAAAGGGTTTGTAGAATAAATCTGCCCCCATGTGCTCAGCTGGATTGCTCCCACAGTGCTCGACATGGCACTCTGTGTGCTGAAGGCACGGTGACAACAGTGACAACGGCTTGGATCACCCAGGGGACAGCAGGAATGATCTGGCTCCTCTGCTATTTACCCAAATCCTGGTCTGGGACACTTCCTACGGGTTTCCTAGGGCAGTTTGAAACGTTACAGAGCCAGAGCGACCTTGCTGGAGCTGTAACTCTTCTGTCTGGAGGGAATTCCTGCTCTGTAACCTTTGTTTGTGGTGGATCTGTGCGTTTCCCAAACTGGGTTTGAGGTGTCTGTAACATTTCTGTCTGGAGGGAATTCCTGCTCTGTGAGTTTCCCAAACTGGGTTTGAGGTATCTGTAACATTTCCATCTGGAGGGAATTCCTGCTCTGTGAGTTTCCCAAACTGGATTTGAGGTATCCCTCACTAGGGATCCTTGGGGAGGAGCAACAGGGAGCATTTTGCTTGTATAAAATGGAATTATTTTCAGCAGAGAAGGGCAGGGGCCTGCTGAGGATGGTGGTTTCCTGTCTGTGGGGTTTGATTGGGTTGTCAGCTGATTTCCTCAAGCCACTAAGGCAGGGAACACCCCAATCTTCTGCTGGGTTATAGTGGAGCTTTCCAAGATCTTGGTCTTACTCCAGCTGTAACCATTGAGTTTGGCATGGGGTCCAACTCCTCCCAAACAACACAGCCCAAGATGGGTCCTTGAAAGCTTCTGTCACTTGTTGTTTTGGCTCCTGAGACAGTTTATCAGGAAGAACTACCTGAAATTAGGTACAATATGGAAAACATAATACAATATTTGATGGAGTACCTCATAATTATAGCTTACCCTTTGGGAACTGTCCAGGAGACAGTTTTCAGTTTTTCTATAAGGCTCTGTTTTGCAAACTTTCTGTATATTTCAACAGTATATATATATATATATATATATATATATATATATATATGACAGTTTTCTTCAGAAATCAGCACACTTTTACCAACTCCTCATCCTTTTCCACTGCCTTCCTCACGTGCTTTGCACAGTTTCTGTTCCCATCACCAGAAAAGCAGACAGCAGAGTAGGAAACACTTCCAGCTCTGACGCTGGCAGCTGATATTTTGCTTTTCTCCCCTAGAACCACAGCTGGGTTCTCTCAGACTGCTTCAGCAGGTCTTAAAAGTTCTCTTCTAGAAGCGTCTTCAGGAGAGGAGATGGAAGGAGGTGTCAGCGGGCTTCACACTGGTGACCTCCTGGGAGTGCCTCTGGTGATGTCCCCGGTGTCCCTTGGTGTGTCCCAGGCTGCTCCAGCTCAGGTGGCTGCAGGACTGTTCCAATTCCTGTGGAATTCATGTGGCAGAGCTCTGCCAATCCTGAGCTCTCCTGAACCCACTGATTTTCCATGAAGTGAGTGTTGTTAAATCCCTTGACATCCCTCCTTTCATCTCTTTAGGGTAACAAAGTGCCCTGCTTCCACCCTTTAATATTGTAACACATTGCAAACCTGTAATTCTTGTTGCTTTCCTCCCTTCCCCACACTGCTGCCCTTGCATCAGCCCAAGGTGACAATTAACACCTCCAGCCCACCGTTTTCCTTCCACATGCTGCCAAACCGGGACTCCTGGGACTGATCTTCCCCAAACCTCAATGTCTGCATGGATGCTGGGACTGGTTGTCTTGATCAGCACAGGGAGAGCAGCTCAGGATGGGATTCCTCTGACTAAATGTGTGCAGGGGCTTAGAGCAGCCTTGGGGGCCTTGTTTAGGTACAAATTTAGGTATAAATCTCCCATTTATAAGATTTTGCTGAGAAAGCAAACTAAAATTCAGCGTGGCTGCAGAAATGTGAGTTCCTCACAGGGGAAACAGCACGGCCACGGCTTAGCCCTCAGGAATTTGGGCTAAAGGCCACAGAAAGGGGTGTGAGAGAACTGGAAGAACTCCATGACAGAGGTAAAACTGTGTGGGATATTCAGTGTCTGAAAGGATAGCAGCCAGCCTGTGCCTTTGGGGCACCTCAGAGGACAAAGCGGAGCAGAGCCGGGCAGTTCTCGGAGTTCATCTCTCGTGCCAGGGGAGCTCACCCCACTGACAAACACCAGAGCAGGGCCAGGCTGGGCAGCCCTCAGAGTTCATCTCTCGTGCCAGGGGAGCTCACCCCGCTGACAAACCCCAGGGCAGGGCTGAGCCGGGCAGTTCTCGGAGTTCATCTCTCGTGCCCGGGGAGCTCACCCCGCTGACAAACCCCAGGGCAGGGCTGAGCCGGGCAACCCTCGGAGTTCATCTCTCATGCCCGGGGAGCTCGCCCCGCTGACAAACACCAGGGCAGGGCTGAGCCGGGCAACTCTTGGAGTCCATCTCTCATGCCCGGGGAGCTCGCCCCGCTGACAAACACCAGGGCAGGGCTGAGCAGGGCAGTTCTCGAAGTCCATCTCTCGTGCCAGGGGAGCTCGCCCCGCTGACAAACACCAGGGCTGGGCTGAGCCGGGCAGTTCTCGGAGTCCATCTCTCGTGCCAGGGGAGCTCGCCCCGCTGACAAACACCAGGGCAGGGCTGAGCCGGGCAACCCTCGGAGTTCAGCTCTCATGCCCGGGGAGCTCGCCCCGCTGACAAACACCAGGGCAGGGCTGAGCCGGGCAACCCTCGGAGTTCAGCTCTCATGCCCGGGGAGCTCGCCCCGCTGACAAACACCAGGGCAGGGCTGAGCCGGGCAACCCTCGGAGTTCAGCTCTCATGCCCGGGGAGCTCGCCCCGCTGACAAACACCAGGGCCGGGCCGGGCTGGCCACGGGGACACTGCAAACCCAGCCAAACGGGACAAAAGCGTCCTGGACACCCCGCTGGGGTGCTCAGGGACTGCTCTCCCCAGGGAGAGCGCTCTGCAGCCAGGCTGGGTCCCGCGGGCAGGGCGCTGGCAGCTCTGCCACGGCAGCAGCGCCTTTTGGGGAGCAGCGTGCGCTGCCTCTGTGTAACGTGCTGGCAGCTGGGCAAGGTGTCAGAAACCCTGCCCGCTCTGTCCCACTCCTGTGTAAAATGGGAGACGTGGAAAAATCAGTTTAAACTACAAAAAAATTAATTTTTTTTAACAATCATTTTGGGTTTTTTTTTTTCTTTCATATTTTTGGTGAGAAAATGCAGCTGAAAATGTAAATTCCTAGAAAATGCCTTTTAAAATAGAAATGTTGAAAAAAGTCTGTTTAAAATAGTTTTGGTGGTGTTTTTTTTGCTATTTTTCTTGGGGGAAAAAAAAAATCACATTTAAAACGGATTTTTCTTGTTTTGGCGGGAAAATCCATTTTAAAGTAGAAATTGTGGGGGAAAGCCAGTTCAAAATGGAAATGTTTCCTTTTTTTTCTGTGGAAAAAAATACAGTTTAAAACAGATTGGTTTTGTTTTTTGTTTTTTTAAATTTTTGTATTTTTTCTAAGATATAGTACAGAAGGAAAATTATCAGGTGCTCCAGCAGCCACAGAAGGGAAATGAGCCACTCCAGAAAAAGCACTGCCTTCTGCCAACAAGCTCCCATCTCATTTCTCCTTTCTTCAGTGTGATCTTTGTCTTGCCATTAATTGTACATGAGATGCTTTGAGTTCCTTCCCACCCAAACCATGTGGTGAACTTGACCAAAGTTCACCATCATCCACATTTTTTTTTCTGTGGAAAAAAATACAGTTTAAAACAGATTGGTTTTGTTTTTTGTTTTTTTAAATTTTTGTATTTTTTCTAAGATATAGTACAGAAGGAAAATTATCAGGTGCTCCAGCAGCCACAGAAGGGAAATGAGCCACTCCAGAAAAAGCACTGCCTTCTGCCAACAAGCTCCCATCTCATTTCTCCTTTCTTCAGTGTGATCTTTGTCTTGCCATTAATTGTACATGAGATGCTTTGAGTTCCTTCCCACCCAAACCATGTGGTGAACTTGACCAAAGTACATCCACATTTATATATATATTTGAAATAAGTAGTGAAAAGAAGCTGAAAATATCTGAGGAGTGCCTGCAAAAGGGGAGAACTTTAAGGATCTAAACTGGAGAGAGGGAATATTTAAATGAAAGAGCAGAAATGTGCATTTGCAGAGCCCTGACAGGTGCTGGGAGGTGCTGCAGGAATCCAGAATTCCCCCAGCAGCATCTCTCCAGAACAATTACAGATTTTGGGGCTACAGGCCCTAACAGAGATTTCCACTACAGGAACCATCCCCACATTCAGCCTTGGTTTTGGCTGGCTCCAGAGAAGCCATGGAAGGCAGAGCCTGGCTTAAACTTAAAGCCACTGCACCACCAAAATTCTCCCTGGATGTTGGAAAACCATCCTGGCTCTTGATGAGCCGTGCAAAGACAGCTCAGAGCACGTTCCTGAACAATCCCTGCCGCAAGGACACACTTCATGTGGGGAATGGATTTGTAGTTTTTAAAACACCTGTCAAGGAAAAGGTATTGTCCAACGCTTTAAGGAAAGCAGTGGATGCCGTTTCCTCTTCAGTCTGGAAGAGAGGGAGAGAAGAAAAAGGCCAAGAAGCTGCAGCTGTGTTCTGTCCC